TAGAAAAAGAATGGCTCTCTCGCCCATTTGGTTCTTTCACCCTTTGACGTTTAGGCGTTCAACACGAGGCGCAACTTGAACTTCCCGACTAGAGCTCGTTGTCGGGGTCAGTTCCAGACGTCCCGCACCGATCCAAGTGGTAGGTGCCTTGGTCCTTTAACCCTCATCCCCTTACAAGAGGAACAGGTTGCGCTCATACTTTTTCCCTTACAGGGATAGAGGTCTTGGGGTCGCGGTGCGAGCACCGGTATCCCCCTCCTGCTGAGGCCAAAAACTAGGAAAAAAGAAAATTTATTTCAAGGCTATTTCCAAGTTCATTTCAAGTTGCCTAGGGTCCCCTGACTATGCAATGCAATATTCAATCCTCAATCATTCAATCCAATGCTATTTCCAAGGCCGATTCTCATGGCTGGTCCGACAGCCTCTCATCAACAAGGCCACCCACATGGCCGGTCTGACGGTCATTCTCTCAATAACCATTTCTCAAGACTGACCCGTCCGCTCATTCAATCCTCAATTCTCTCATTCCTCCACACCCAATCTCTGTGACCGTCCCAACGGTCCCTGCCCCTCTTGGCTTTAAGGTTCCGCCTCTTTTATTTTGTCCTTCTCATTCATGTCTTTCTTCCGCCCCCGTGGCTATTTCAGCGGCCGACCCACCGACCTTTTCCATCTCTTCTGTCCATCTCTTTGGCTATTTCAATGACCGACCCACCGGCCTTCTCCATCTCTTCCATTCATCCCATTGGCTATTTCAATGACCGACCCACTGGCCTTTTCCATTTCTCTCATCCCATTGGCTATTTCAAGGACCGACCCACCGGCCTTTTCCATTTCTCTCATCCATCCTTTGGCTATTTCAATGACCGACCCATCGGCCTTTTCCATTTCTTATTGCTCTTTCGAGCACAATCTCAATCAACCTCCTCAATCAACCTTTCTCAATCAAATATGCAGGGGACCCCAGTGCCTATTTCATAAGGAATGACCCTTGTCAGGGACCATTCCCGAACAACCTGGTTAGGGTCGTTATTTTCCATTCTCAAGTCGAACAGCCTGGTTAGGGACATTCCTTTCCATTCTCAAGTTGAACAGCCTGGTTAGGGTCATTTCTTTCCATTCTCAAGTCGAACAGCCTGGTTAGGGTCATTCCTTTCCATTCTCAAGTCGAACAGCCTGGTTAGGGTCATTCCTTTCCATTCTCAAGTCGAACAGCCTGGTTAGGGCCATTCCTTTTCATTCTCAATGTTAGTGCCCGAGGGGATGGGCCTCGAGGTTACGGATCTCATTTCTGTCTTGGAGGTTAGGAAGTGGTCATCTCATCTTTTGTGTGTTGTTCTCTTTCTTCCTTCTCTCACAGTAATGTACTATCCATTCCATTTCTCACAGTAATGTACCATCCATGCGTACATCCAACTTAGCGTCTAGTACTCGAGTTGGGGCTCGCGACCCCAAGCAGCACTAGCCCACCCGACCGTTCATCCATAAAAAAAGACAAAGGCGCCCCTTCCATTTTCACTCTTCCTGATCACTCAGGTTTCGACTATTCTCAGTCTCATTCATGACTCAGTTGGATTAGGCTCCTATGGAAGGAGTGTTCTGCACGCCCCTTAACCCATAGGTTCCCTAACCTCTCTTGTACTCGATCAATCATTCCATGCCATGGTTCGCTCGTCAATCCGTACTCAAGGTTTTCCCCTCTCAAAAACATAATCCTTGTTTCATCCATAATTCACAATACACCCTTTCCCAATTGGTCTCATCCCAAATCTCATATCTTTGTCTTATGTACCCAAGGTAGCGCATCCAAAAAGTAGCCTAAAAAACTATCTTCTATCTTATCGTGACACAACCTTAGCTGGCCCTCTTTTCACTTCATCGTTGGCAAGCTTGCCCATACTGTACACGTTCTCGTCATTCTCATGTCTCTGCAGTCAGAAAAACAGCGATTATTTTCAATGCTAAGTCAACACCTAGTTCCTATTGCTGCCTTGCGCCTCGTCTTGCCCAGTTCCTTGTCCACCCCGTTCCTGCTTCCACAATACAAAGTTGGACGAATCTGGAAACCTTAGGAAATCTACTTCGTACCACTTATTTTTATTTGTTTCTGGTTTCAAGTCTTATTTATCCAGCCGCAGGTTCCCCTACGGCTACCTTGTTACGACTTCACCTCAGTCACTAATTCTACCGTGATAGTCTCTATGATCAACGATGCGAAAAACAGTTACAAAGATATAGAAAAATGGTGAATTAACCCGAGTGAGTTGCTAAGAAACTCTGAGTAAATTTTTGACAAAAGTAATCCAGTTGACTATCGATTTGTTCAGTGATTGTTTTTTGTTGTGCAATAGCAGAAAGCAAACTTGGATCAATTGATTTCAACAACTCTTGTTCATATTTAAGAATTTGAGAAATCTAAATTTGATTTAAATAATCTTTGACAGCCGCATAAATAACAACTTGCTTTTCAATCGAGATTGGACAATATTGTGGTTGTTTTAACACGTCTGTTAGTCTCGCACAAGAGCTGGACACAAAGTGTTGAGGTAATGCGTACTATTCTAGAAACAGTGTGTGAACCACGCTTCCTGAAATGTTCCAACTCTGGAGAGTCTGGCTATTCGCAACATACTTGTATGAAACAGATACGCCGAGATTTTCGAGGGGCGGCTGTCTGGTACATAGAAGGCCGAAGGTCCAAATGCTTCGATACAATCGAACACCAAATATTGATGGCTTTCTAACCCCCAGGCCATAGGTCTCAATTTCTCTTTTCATGCTTACAATTTTTCGTAACTCTGCCTCGTTGAAAAAATCCAGTGGTGTGGCTTCCACCCCTGCCCTTGCGAGTTCCCGAGAATTGATAATCCATTTGTGCCTGATTACATTGGTCCATTGCTGAAACCAATGACTGAGCGTTGGCCAGAACTCGTCCTCCCATCTGAAAGCCTCATCGTCCGGCTGGTGCATTGGAGGCCGCCCCTCTTCTCTAGGCCTCGAGATCTCATCCCTCTCATCCCCGCTGCTGATTTATACGACTTCTCGCACATCCTCCTCCTCGGCCTCCTCGTCTTCTGTCTGTATGGGGCTATACCCACCTGCAAGGTTCTTTGGATCGTAGGTAAAAGGAATCCCTGTCCCCGTCCCATACCCCTCGCAATTGTCGTGGCCGCTTCATCCTTCAAGCGGACTCTCCCTTCTTTCCTCACCCTCCTCGTATTCGTCGCGCATGTCTTGTCTCCCCTCGCTCTCCCCATGCCAAGTCTCACGTCGCTTGCCCCTGTTGACTCCCTCCTCGTCAGAGACCTGAACCTTGTTTCCCATCTCTGTATTGCCTATCTTCCACTTCTGCCTTTTCCTTCCCTCCCTCACTGTCAGATGAAATTTCTATACCTTCTCCCTCGCGGAGGGGTGAGGGTTTCCTACACAAAACATTTCCTTCCTCCCCGGCCTACCACTGGGTCACCCGTGAGTCCTCTATACAACTTTCTCTTTGCGACTCTCCTTCTTTGGCTTGGTCCTGCTTCCTCCCCTCCGGTAGGCCTGTTGATTGCCCCGCTGTCATTTTCGTCACCGAACTCCATCTTCTTTTTTTCTTTTAGACCCTGTATAACAAAACAACACCCGCAAGGCCCCTCATGCACCCATTCCCCCAGTCTGGTAGGTAGTCCCTCCCTTTTTCCCAGAATGCTCCCAACATCCTTCGCAGCATGCCCCTATTATACATGCGAATGCATCGTTTGTGATGACCCCATTTTTTTCCCGTCAAAAACTATGGTACAATGCCCCAGACATCCCTCCCCGTTGTCACACAAGCCAGATATTGCAAACCCGCAAGTCACGCTGCCTTTCAACCTCAGTCAGTCCAAGCCAAAGCGCCAGTCCCCAAAAAAATGATGGTCCCACGAACATGGTCAGAGACAAACCATAATGTGGCAAGGTTGTGGTCAGTCTTTAGCTTGTGGCTCCTCGGTTTCCTTATCTTCGGCCTCCTGAAGCCATTGTTCCACTGGGTCCCGACTTAGAAACCTGACCAATCGTTGCCTCGGGAAGGGTCCTTTCAATCCAGTTTCATCCAAATCTTCCAGTTCGAAGGTGTTCAGTCCCACCCGCTTGGCGACCCGGTAGGGGCCTTTGAACCTCCTTCCCTCTGTCCCGACCAAGTACTTTCTAGTGCCGAGTTCCTTAGCAATACCATCTCCCCCACCTGAAGTGGCTCCTTTCTGACATTCTTAACCTGGTCCCACCTTGCTTTGTCCCTCATTCTGCTGTCCAGCACCCGGTTGGCGATGTCTTCCATGACCTTCTCATTCTTAAGGATTTGTTGACATCTTGCCTCAATTAACTCTTCAGTGGTCATTTGCGGATCATCATCTAACCTATTCCACGTAGGTACCAAGGCTTCTACAGGAAAGTCGATCTCTCTTCCATACCAAAGCTCTGCCGGGATACATCCTGTTGTCCTTTTAGGGGTCATATTCTCTGCAAAGACAGCCTGCTTAAGATACCTAGGCCAGTTCCCCAGATGGTCCGCTGCGAGCTTTGCATCGTGTTCTTCAATGTTCGGTGCCCCCTTTCCACAGGTGCGTTGGCCTCAAGGTGATATGGCTCGATGTTTGATCAGTATGCAGAGTCTCTTAAGCATCCCCAATACTTCTTGGTTCACAAACTCTATCCCATTGTTTGCTATAAACCTCCTGACGAACGAATGCCTCAAGTAGAAGTCTTCTATTCAGTCCGCCACACTTCTCCCTGTCTTATTCTTGAGGGCGACTGCCTCCACGAGCCCTCTCAGGTTGTCTTGCGCATCCAGGATATACCTGTACCCATCCGTTGATACAGGCATGACTGCAAGGTCGAGGTGGACCAGATGTCCCGGCCCTAGCACCCGCGTTGGTCTAAGCGGCTCGAAGACCCGCACCGAGCTTCGTTCTTGGCAAATAAGGCAAGTCTGGCAGTATATGGCGACCATGCCTGCCATGCCTGGCCAATAATAGAGTGGCGTTATCTTTGCAAGTGTTCCTTTGGACGACCGATGACCTCCAGCTAACCCGTCGTGCATTGCTTAGATAACGTCTACTTGCCTAGGTCTTTTGCACACAACCCTTTTGGGCATAGCACCTTCCTCCCTTCGGAACAAATGCCCGCCCCTTAGGACGTATCTTTTGGCTTCTTCTCTTGCTTTAATACTGACTTCCGTAGGTTGTTTGTTTCCTACCAACAACAGGCCGATCTCCCGAGAGAGCCCTTCGTATGATTGGACATAGAGAAACTCCTCCCCTTCCTGACCCTCATCGTTTTCTTCCTGCATCTGGTTTACCACCCATTGCAACTCTTTCCTTTCCCAAAATTTCACTAAGCTCATCACTGTTTCTCGGCCTCCCTCGACCGCCATTGCCATTAGTTCCTCTTTCGGTCCTACTATCGTTCCCCATGAGTTCTTTTCTTCTTTGCGTCCTCGAGTGGTAACTGGTCCTTCTCTAAGTTTTGCTACTACGGCAGGTGCCCCCTTCTCCAAAGTCTGGATCAATAGTTCTCCCGATGTGTATTCCCCGCTCATCATTTCGTTATCCACCGCGAGAGTCCCTCCTTCGTATTCGAGGAATGCGTCTATGGGCTCTGCATCCTCCATCCCTTCAGGAGTGATGCAAACCCGACTCAGCCCATCTGCCTTGTTGCGGATTCCAGCAATCCGTTCAATCTTGTAATCGAACTGCCAAATGAATCCTACCCATCTCCCTACCGTCGGATCTATAGGCCTGTAATTCTTTAGAGCCCCTGCGACATTCGTCGGATCGATCCTTAAGATGAACCGCCTCCCAAATAGGTAGGCCTGGAAGGTCTTAAGGCAATGCAGGATGGCTAGGACTTCCTTCTTGAATTGCGAGTATCGCCGTTCTGCGGAGTTCAGGGTTCTACTTTCGAACCTAGTCGGCCTCTCTTTTCCTCCTTCATCTCTTTGAATCAACACACCTCCTACGGCCAAAGGTCCTTCATCCGTCTCTAGGATGAAGGGTCGTCCCACTTCGTCATTAAAACAAGGTGCGGACAGGGCGACTGTCTCAGATGTCAATACGCCCTTGAGCCTTTGGACAACTCCTCGCTCCTCCGTCCAATTCATGGTTCCTTCTTCCCTGATCATAACCCGGATAGACTCAGCAATCTTGGCAAAATTCTTAATGAAGATCCTCCAAAAGTCGACTATGCCTAAGAATACCCTTACCTCCGTCGTCGTGCGCCGTGGTGTCGGCCACTGTGATATCTTGTCGGTCTTTGCCGGATCCGGCTTCCTGCCGTAAGCACCGCAACGAAATCCTAGTATAGTTACCTCCGGTACTGGTAGGATGCTCGTCGGTCCACTAGCCGTAATGTTGTATACTAGGAACCGGCGGAGTAAGTCCTTGATGTCCTGCAGGTGGTCCCACACAAAACGTCGGATCCCTGGCTGGACTTCCGTCTCGTCCTTCTCCTGCGCGCCTTTGATCGGATTTTCATCGATGTAAGGCTCACACTTTTCTGGGAACATGTCTCCGGCCACGGCGAGCATCCTGCGTTGCGCTTCGGCCACCGCGTTTGTGAATCCGATAGGGGTCACTTGCATCTGTAGCTGTTCTACGGAGGTGTGCATAGCGGTGTATGGCCTGTCCCGAACATCCAATGGAAGTTGGTCGTACCCTGAGTACAGATCTATCAGGGAGTAAATGCTCCGACCGGAGCGCGATTGTGCTAATAAGTCAGCCTGAGGTAGCGAGCCAGCATCCCGGATGGTTACCGCATTCAACTTCTGAAGGTCCTGAATCCACCTTAGTGTCTTGTTAGGCTTCCGAAAGACAAACCACCGATTTGCGTATAGCGATGTCGTAGGCTCCGCAACGAAGGAGTCCATCTTTGCTCGGAGGAGGTCTGTTACTTCTCCTGCTATCCCAAATTCATAGGATGACCCCTTGTCATTCCAGCACTCATGTTCTACCGTGTGGCTTCTGACCGGAGGGATCAACTTCGCATCCAGTCGTCCCTTCTGGTGATCACTAAAGGCAAATGTCAGGTGAAACTCCTGGCAGGTCCTTTTCATCAGGCGGGTTTTTTCTTCCGCTAAGAACCCGTCTATCCCTATCTTCATTGTGTCAGCTACCTCATCTGGTATACGATGTCCCTCCGCCGCCCTTCTTTCTCGGATCATTCGAAGGACCTCTTCCTCCTTCTCCATAGCCTCTTCCTTTGATGTCTCTAGCAGGATTGAGACCGGTTTTGCTTTCTTCCCTACCGGCTTGTACTTTCAAACACTTCCTTCTTGGATCTTTCTCCTAAAAAATGAACAGTCGGAATTGCCCCCGTCGCCTCTATGACACGTGGTTGAATACTAACTAGCTTCCCATTCAGGCAATATCCCTTTTGCACCTCTCTTTCGAACTTGGCCAAGGCTGCCGAATCCACTCTTACCTTGTGGTATCCGAGGGTCTTGATGAGTTGCAATAGATCGGGGATCTCGAGTGCGATTTCTGGCACGTCTATGCGTGCTTCTTTCCGTTTGGGCAGGCTAGCACCAAGTTCGACCTTTGACTCCTTTTCCGCTACCATAACACCTAGGACTTCGTCCTCCTGCCTCCTCTTCTTCTGGGGCAGGCTCATCTTGATCCACTCCTTCTTATTGAATGCTTCCTCAATCATGATTTCTACCCTTTCTCTCATACCTTCCATCCGTGCGAAAACCCCTTTTCGCGTGCTATCCTCGAATGACGGCGACCATGTCGTCAATTTCCCCTTCGGGGGGTCTCCTCCCGTTCCAAGGAGTCGGAGAAGCTCTCCCCGCCCGGTCACAGGGTCCTCTATGTCTACCATGTACGAGCCATCGTGCAAGTGCATGCCTATCATCTCTACGTTCGCGCACCACGGTCTCCCGAGGATTATGCCGTGGTCCATTTCCTCCATTACGGTCATCTGCTGAAACGACCAGATCGATTCCCTGACCCCTGCCTTCACAGCACACTTCGTGACGTACCCAGCGAACGGGATTTCCCCGCCAGCTCCCCGGATGCTCCCCGTTACTTCTTTGTTTACCGTACATCCCGTGATCGTTGCGAAATCTCTCCTTATGAGAGTGATTTCTGCTCCCCCGTCTACTAATGCGTCGGTATGATACCTCCCGATCTGGATTTTTAGTTTCCCTACGGGTAGTGCATGAAAACTAAGCTTTGTCCCGGGTGGTGATCTCATGACTTCGCCGCCCTTCCGGTCGGGCAAGCTCAAACGAATGTCTGCAAAGGCTTTTTCGAGATCCTCCAAGTCCCCGTGACTCCTCTGAAGGTTAGCCACTTCTTGCGGAGCTTCCTCCTCCCTCTCCCCTTCTGGTAATTCGGGGTTGTCGCCTATTTCTACTCGCCTCCGAGTCAACAGTTGTCTGAGCCCTTTGAGCAACCTAGGGCTAGCCTGCAGCATAGTCTGAAAAGATACCGACATCATGGTTCCTAGTAACTTGCTAATGGTGTCGTCGAGCTCAGGCAAGGTTAAGATCGGGATTTGATACCAAAACTTCTTCTTAGCGGCGGTAACCTTGTCCGCAGGCTCCTCTTCCCTAGGCTTCCCATAGACTTTCTCTAGTTCCTCGGCCTCAGGCTCCGCCAGGGGTTTGGAGCTTCCGGCGACCTCCTCCATGATGGTTTCACGGTTAATCCTTCTCCCGGCCATTCCCAGTCAAGTGGTTGCATTCACCCTATCACGTCCGTCACTTTCCAAAATAAAGTTGGCATGCGGTGCGCGCCCCCAGAGTTGATCCCAGATGATCTCACCCACCGGTTCGGCTTCTACGACTGTTAATTTTAGCCCGTTGAGCATGATAATGGCCCGCCGCATCCCGCCTGGCGAGTTCCAGTTCACCCGTTCCCCTTGTGGTCCAAATATCTCCCCCTTTAATGACCTGGTACACCTTCTTTTCATAATATCATGGTTGAGCTTTGGGCACGCGCGCACATAATGTCCTATCGCGGTACAGTACTTGCATTGCTCGTTAGCAAGATCTCTCCTTCCGAATCCCCGGTTGACTACAACTGGCGGAACCACAGCTTCCCGGGGAGGGAGGGCGGGTCGGGATACTTGCGCCTTCATGACCAGTAGCGCGCCTTCCATCCTTTCAATCTTATTGTCGACCCCGTGCACCCGTTCATGTAGACTTTCAATTCCCTTTTTTACCTTGTCGCCCGTCCTACTGGTCAGATTTATGATCTTTCCTTCCTTGAGCAAGACCAGCGTTTCTGTTACTACCGTTTTCTCAGCCAGATCCGTTACAGTGCTAAAATCAACATCCCGCGTGTTTACGAACTTGCTCGTCTGTTGGTAAGATGACAGGATCTTGTCTTTATCGAACTCGAAGAACCGCCTGAGGAAATATTTGCTCATTATCCGGTCCGTGACCCCAGGGATCCTTAGTGCTACTAGAGTAAATTCCCGTAGGAAATCATTGTACGTTGCGAAGTTCTTCCTCTGAACTGCCGCTAGGTCAGCCTCCATTGCCATTTTCTCTGCCGCTAGGTACTTCCGCATCATCACATCCCGGGTCTCCTTCCAAGACCGGCTTACGACTACAATGACCATTATGTCCCGCCCTAGGCTTAACGACACATGCTGTCCTAGATGGTCCATTTTTTCCTCCTCGGTCCACTTTAGTAACGCAACTAGGTTCTCGTAGTCGATCAGAAACTCCGTGGTGTTTGCTCCATCGAAAGTCAGCTTTTTCTTGAAGTCTGTCCGATAGCCTTGATTTTTGTTTAGTGCTCGCGTGAGGGACGACACTATCTTCTTACGGCCGCCCTCGGAGCTGCTGGCCTCGCCTGCCACACTGTTATCCGGACTTTCCTTGCCGGCCTTCTATCCCTCCCTGGTTTTCATAGTTCCTTCCGGGTCAAACCATCCCAACACTCTTTCCCTAAGGCTCCAAAGTCCTTCGCATCCTCACGCTACTGCTGGCGTGATTGGCAGGCGGCTAACCCTACTGTCCATGGTTGGCGGAGTCGTAGCCTTTTCTGCTTCCATCCCCGAAGAGTCCTCTCTCTCTTTCCTTCTCTTGCTCGGCGTTCCCCCACGGTCACTACCTTTATCCCCTTGTCCAGTCCCACCTTGGCTGGCTTTCCGTTCGTCCTGGGGTTCCTCCTGCAGAGGACCTTCTTCGTTCCCAGTCATCATTTCCTCAATCAGTCTTGCCTTATATTCCGCGGTCCTCTTGTCTATCTCGGCTAGTTTGCGCCTCGTGTCCGTGACCCTTACTTTCTTAGGCATGGATCCTTCCGAGTTTCGGGGGTTTGCCCTATCCTTATTTCTGCCTTCCTTAGTCCCCTGAGTCCCTTGCCTTCTTCCCCCAGCTTTCCCCGAGCTTTCCCCTGTGGAGATTTCCTTCCGGTTCCCTTTGGTACCATCCGGATTTATCGATTCTCTGTCCTTCTGCCCCCCTTCGCTTTGTGCGACACTGCCTTCTAAGCCTGGTTCTCCTTCACTTTTACGGTTATCTGTCTCCTCTTCCATTGCCATTTTGCCTAGTTCTGCATAAGCCAAAGAATTCTTAGGACACACGCAATGCGAGGTATTTAGGTTCCCTAGGATCCCAGCTCTGTTGGCTTACCTTTATAGCCTCCTTTCCTATCCTCGTTTTCTGATTGCCCTTCCTTAAGGAGGAGCCACGACTGACCCCTCCGCCCAACCGAGCTATGAACATGACTGGGCTTCCTTTATCACAAGCTCGTTTGCATTGCCCTTGTCCCGTTGGTCGACGCGAGGGAGTCTGGGTTAGGCATCCTACTAGGGGAAGTCTTCCCGAGCAGCGTTTCCCGTTTTGGACCTTCAGGGTTATGGTCAATCATTATGAGTCTGCCCCGCCCCTTCTTTGTTTTTCTAGTGGGTTTTAGCCATCCAAGTCCGAGGACCCTTTCTTATTCTCATCGGCGAACTTCCGTACGCAGCGAACTATATTCGATCTGCCCTATTGACCCGCCTGCGGATGCTAATCTCGCTCTCGCCCTCGCGGCTCTTTTGGCTCGGTAGACTCCTCGAATAGTTGAGCCACCCCCGTTAGATAATTCTCCCCTATCTCGATTTCCCTTTGGATTATGCGTTCGCACCCTGTCCAGTCTAGCCGGGGCGCACAAAACATCAGGATGTGGATGACTTCTAGTAATTCGCGGGCCCTGTTTCCCCTGAACGGCCCATGATCCACAGCGATATCGTAGAACATCCCAATGGTAGGGCAGGGAAAGTGACTTGCCCAGACTATCGCTGAGTCTGCCAGCTCCCTCGCCCTTGCGAGGCTTCCGAAGACGAGGTCTATCATAAAACGGGGCACTCGGCATCTCGGCGGTGTGGTCGGTGCCCTGAACTCCCTCCAACCTCCCATTTCCACCCGGGTTAGCAAGCCAACGTTCCTTCTTCCCCTGACCGAATGTCCTATCCGGGTCAACGTCCGGGCGGCCCTTTGAAAGACCGGTGTCAGCACGTGACCTTGTGCTATCTCCACCCCCAACGAATGTCAGTCGATCTCAGGCAGATACATGGTCCCGGTAACCTCCAGATTGGAGAACAGATCGTCTCCGGGTCCTCGGTTGAGTCTCATCCCTGTCCACCGACATTCTACTAACATGAAGGCGGCGTCCCTTCCCAAAGTCACGGCCCGCCATTCTGTGTCGAACCCCCGATAGGTAGAACTCGGCGGGAGAAATACTTCCGATCGTCCACCGTTGTTCCAGGGTGGTCTAGGGTACCGGGGCTGGCATTCCATGCGCACACGGGGCTGGCGTTCCACTCGCTCACGTCTTGCTTCCATTGTTACCTTGGTGATTTCCTGCATTGTCCACATAGAAAGGGTCACAACCAATCTTCAGAATCCGCCCACCTACTGTCTCCCTTGCCCTTCGTGTTTTCATTTCTCTTTTCTAGTCCCAATTATCCCTCTATACCCCCGGGAGCGGTAGCCCCCTCTTGCTGTTCGTACAGTCCGTAGAGATCGTCTAGGTAGGTCGCGCCCCGACCTACCTCTCGCCGGATGACTCTCCACATGGTCTCATCGCTTATTTGTGGGACTCCTGGCCTAGTATTTACTGTTGTTTGTAGAATGCAAAGCACCTCGCGCCCTTGTTCGTCCCCGAAAGGCCCCATCTCTAGGAACGCCCAATAGTATTCTCGATACCTTAATGCTTCGTCAAAATTTAGCCTAGTTACGGCAATCACCGCCTGCTCCACTCGTTCTATGCCTCCCATTCGTCTTAGTAGGAAGGGTGGTAGACTCATTCGTACGACCTCATTTGGCAGCTCAAAAACCCTTGCCGCGGCGACTTTCACCTTAGCCGTCACGTCATCTCGTTCTGGATCTGCAAACTCAAACCCCTCCCACCAGGTTACTTGCCATGCCCCTTCAAACATTCGCACGGGGTCATCCCCGGAAGCCAAAGCAATCCCAAAGGTCCGCCATCCCTCTTCCGACAGGTGTAAGGATCCCGTCGCATGTACACGCCCTGGGAGGTTCAAGTCTACGCCCCCAAACTCCCCTCTTGCACGTCATTCCAGCTCCACTACTAGGTACACCGTATCTTCCACCAACTCTACCCCCACCCAGTCCATTACCGGATTGCCTACCGTATTTCTTGCCGGCAGGCTTATTTCGACTGTGCCCTCTGATATTCTTGGTGGTAGGATCCCATGAAGTCTATCCGCCTAGAACGTCTTTCGTCGGGCCATCTCGCAATGTCTCCTTTCCTGCTTTTTGAGTCTGATTGCTGCACTCACCGAGATTCCATGCCTTTCGTGTTTTAGTCTTTCAGCCCTCCCTACTTATCATACACTGGTTCTTGCCGCTATCCCCAACTCATACACGTTCAATTCTACCCATGCCCCCTTTTTTCCGGTTGTTGCCACTTCCCCCTTGTTTCAATCCTTATGCACCATCTACGGCCTAATGTACACACTCCCTTTCTTATGTTACACCTCAATTCACAAGCACCGTCCACACTCAGGCCTTTTTGCGGTGATCGATCCCCCGTCCTTGTTTAGTCGAACCACAGCACCTCAAATAGTTTAAAGACATCGTCTATGTAGGAGGGTGCGGTCGCCGCCTCCCGGCTAACTATGGCGTCCCAAGACTCCGCCTCTACCTCTAGGCGGTTATACCTGCCTATTCTTAGGACGATGATGACTTCCTTGGCTTTATCTCCGTAGAAGGGCCCATATTTCAATGAGAGCCTATAGAACTCCTCAGTCAGCCAGACACACTCTATATGCACCTTTCTCATGGAGTCGGCTACTTCTAAAATGTGCTCAAACCCCCCAAACCACTCGGCTATGAATTCTGGTACCCAAGCCGTTATCCGTAAACTTGGAGGCTTAAGTTTCTTCCATCCTCCCATCAGAACTCTACTACTAACTTCGTCCCATCCCTCATTGGCGAACAACTTGCCTTTCTTTCGGGTTCGGGCCTCTGCATCCCCTAGAAACCACTCGGGTCTTGTCCCATTGCTAACATGGTGCAAAACAGGTGTCATCCATCCTCGGAAAGGACAATCCTTCCAACTGACTCTACCTTACCTTCTGCTATATCATCCCAACCTTCCTTTTCCCTTATCGAGTTCCAAATCCGCTCTGTCCATACATATGACAAGTCCCGGGCAACCTCAAACCCAATCGAGTCGCACGTGGTTCCTCTTCATCCGTTCTCTGTTGGTAAAGACATTTTTATTCCTCCTCTGAGTCGCCGTGGTTCCCAGCCTTTGAGGGGGTATTCCATCATCCTTTC